GACAGGCGTTCTTATTTGGACGCGCGTGTGTGCGCACTTGTGTCTGTGTGCCCCATCCCAACACAGGCGGCTGACAGCTAGGCGGTTGCTTGCTGCAGTGGTGGGGGAGAGAGTGGGAATGACCCTCGGCGCACTTCTTTCCTCACGGCGCGTTTGAAACTATCGCGGTGCGGTATAAGCCCTGGCTTGGAGGGCTGCCAGCTGGCGGGTTAATTCGGACACCGCAGTCGGCCCAGTGCGTCTTGTTGTGTTTAGTGACTGTCTGCGGGCTGAGAGTCATATGCAATGGCTTTTATGGCGCTCCCTGTCGAGAGCATACCTAATGAGACGTGCTGTTGGTACGCGTGTTGAGGGTTTGTCGCGCCAATGACCAAAGGTTTGCGCGCGTTAACAAAACTGTTATAAACAACCAATAGAACACCAGAAATGTCCAATTAGATTCACTCGTATATCCACTCTTTGTCGAGTCTATATCGAATGGGACCCACAAAGCGGATACACTCGTATGTTAACTCTATGTTAAATTTCAGCTATTGAAGTAGAACCATGAAAAGTGGGCTTTTTGCATTTATTTAAACTCACAATAACTTCGAAGATAAGGCATTAGTATAAAAGTAATCGTTTCGTTTGGGCGAAAAGATGTGGCTAGTTTCGTTATACATAGCTCTAATTCTTACCGTAACCCTTTCTCTGACCCTAACCCTTATCCTAAACCTAACACTTACCCTAACCGTAAGACACAAGCCTGGAGTTAAGCGTATGTACGGTGCCCTACCAATGATATCCCTGCGGAAATAGATTAATTAGATTTTCGTAGGGGATCATTCCTTTGTCGGGATGGAATGTGTCGTAGTAAGTAATCATACTTTCTGGCGGGGTGACGTACCAAGCTTTCTGCATAAAACAAAGAATGCCTATTGTTATGAAATAAGTAGACAGTTATGCGTAACCTAAGCTGTCCTGGGAGGTAAATTAAACTTCCACCCATAAAAAAACAACCTGGAAACGGCGTTAGTACTGCAATGGCAACTAATTTCGTCATTTGTCTTTTTCAGTTGTCCGATCTGCGCATATGCCAAGGTGACCAGAAGAAGGTGGAAAATTCGACCTTCGAGTTGTGGGATGTCGGGCACAATGATGATCCTATCAAATCCATCATCAGGGTAGAGGCTCCAAACGCGCTGAGTGCCAAGACCTGGCTTCAGGACTTGGAAAAGAACATTAAATCACAAGGTTGGACATTTTTGTGACTCTTCTTTATAAACGCACGAACCTTGTTTATCTAGCTGTTTGAAGCATTTTGATGACCCCCGGTAGATTCACAGATAGCACAAAGACGTCCATGGTGACTAGACCTAAGTTTATCCGATTGCTTTTGAATCTTTTTGCCGTTTCCTCAAATCAATCATTTTATTGTTTGGTCCTCACTCTAAAATTCACCTCCAACACTTGGTAGCACTTAGGCAGTAGCGATGAAAGGGGCAAATAACGACACCCGTACGGCGAGCAAGTAAGTATCGCATTGTGTACGACCAACTATACCGCATGCGGAAAATGGTAATGTTAGTGGGTTTGTGGTTGCACATTTGTGGCACTCTATCAAGCACTGTGTCGCCTTTATGTCACTGGCGATTACCTCGAGAGTTAATTTGAAACGTCATATGGCAATTAGATTCCTCGTTCAAGGAACTCGTTTTTTTCGTGTCTATCAGTCGCTGTTTTGCGCAAAAGTACTACCAGCAAAGGTGGGGCGAGCTGGAGTGACCAGTGAGCGCTTATCTGCTTTTGACAGCCAATCGCGCTGCAGCACCAATTGAAACAGACACTTGGATCACGTGATATCCGCTGCAATCGCGAACTGTTCGTGTTACGTGAGCGTAGCGTCCGCTGATGTGCTTCTGAGAGGAAGCAGATGTGACCCCTGAGACGACAATTTTATTTGCTTAATATGGGGGGCAGTAACTATGCTACTGTATACTTATATCAACTAATGGCTTCCCTATCGAGGATAATGGCGCGCTAATTGCTTGATGTCCGACATGCGGGTCGTAACCTACTGCAGTTTTATCATCCGCGGTGGACTTGGGCATGATGATTGCTTGGACATCTGGCTCCCTGTCGCTGGTGTTAGGTCACTCGTTGGCTTCTGCCTTGCCGAGTGGCGAATTGCTTTGGCCAAACTGAGCCTCAGCACCGAATGTGGATTGGACAGTTCGTTGCATTTGCTTATTGGCTGCGAGCCCGTAAACCATGATTCAAGGCACCCGCGATTCACACGATTGTCCCCTCTCGTGAGAATTTCAGCCTCCTCAAATTTGAATGTGCGGCCTCGTCACGTCCAATGAGCCGCGACTTCAGAAATGGCATCATTTATCCGCAGTGCTGCCGTGTGTTCGGCAACTCACATCTTCCGAAGTCTTCCAGTTTCCTCGACGTAGTTGCTGTGTCTACAATTGCATCAAATCCTATCGACGACTCCAGATTATTCTTGCCGTACAGATGGGTTTCTTGGTTCCGTTATCAGACGCCTTACGGTTGCCTCCAGCCTGTGCGCGATCCAAAGTGGTGCGAGAAGGCGAAATGAATTCCTGTTCCAACGATCACATCTGCTCCTTCGCTGATATTAGCGATCCGGGATGTTGTTGTGGAAGTGTTGCCAGCCTATATCC